CGGCCACAACGCCGCAAAACACCCGGGCCTTTCCAGGAAAACTTTGCTCAGTCGCCTGCGGTCATGACCGGGCAAGCCCCGGCTCTTCACTGCCGTGCTCCCAGCGCCCTGCTTCCGCAGGCTGGCTTGAGGGAGATGGTCCGGTCTGACCCCTCTGCACAAAGCAGAGTCAACCAGAGCAGGCTGCTACAGGGGTTTTTTGCCCTTTTCCCAAGCCTACAGGTAACTTTTCCAGGTTTTAAGCTAGTCCAAAACTGTCCTGAAGCAGAGAGGAGCCGGCCTGATGATTTCTGTCAGCTTTGGTTTGGCAGGTGATGCTGGCGAAGGGCTCATCACCAAACGCCTGTGTCCAGTGTGGGTTTAGAGGTCTCACAGCACAGGTGCAGGCGTTTGGGACTTTAATGGCTAAGTACTCGAGAGCTACTAAACAGCAGAGGGAATACTGTGTAAAAATACTTCTACATTTTAAAGGCCAAATCTCAGGCGGCATCAGCAAGTGTTTACCCAAACTGAGCAAAAACATGGTTTAACAAAAGAAGCATGGTTTAACAGGGACAAAAGGAGCAGTGAACACGTTGCTTCTTGACCATGGAAGAATAGTTAGTTGGATCAGTTTGGTGTAGAGATGAAATACAAAAGGCTTTCAATACTGCAGAGGACTTACCCTTTCTTTAAAAAGTATTCAGTAAAAACTTTTTTTGCTGATCGCGAGCTGACTGTAGAACAAGAAATATGTGGTCTCTAACGACGAATTTTTTTTTGTCAAAAAAAGCCACTCGTGCCTCATCTCCTTTCAGCAGAAGTTAATTTACTGGTGTTCTGACAGTAGGCAAAGAGCTGCTCTGCCCAGCAGAGACCAATACAGAGAACTCGGCCATTCAGTACGTGGTGGATTTACACCGCTTTCAAGTGAACAGACTTCATGTTAGTTCCCAAATGGCAGTGCTCCTAGTGCTTGGGAAGGGAGCTGATTTTAGGACAGGTGGATCTTCTGCACATGCTCCAGTGTGGATTTCCAAGGGAGTCTGGCGTGTGTAGTGTTCCTGGTTTATATTTGACTAGGAGCACTTCCAAGAATCTCTGTTCACGCACTTGTTTGGATAAGGGCCCATTGCATCACCTCAGTTAGCTTTTGCACTGCTTTCCCTCCTGCTCTGTTTTTATACTTTTCTTTCTTAATTTGTCACGCTAGCAGGTAAATGGAGAGAAAGTGAATTTATCTTCTGAAACGCATTTTAAGTTGCTGCCATTTATCTAAAGCACCTACTTCACCCCCTTCAGTAAAATAATGATGTTGTTCATTAGTTCCTCTAGCTGCTCATGGCTAAATGCACCGTAGTCAGATTGCTCTATTTTTTCCCTCCTATCAGCCACTTATGAAAGTCAAACATTTGAAATAATGCTATTGGTTTTTTTTGGAAGACTCTCAATTCTGCTGATGTTTTTAAATAAAATATCTCTAGATGAATGGGACTTGGTTTTTCATGTCCAAGCAAGCATTGTACTGTTGGGCACTTCAGTTAATGTCTACGTTTTTTCCCTGACTTTTTCATTACTCTCAAATTGAATGTTTAGAATAGTTGTTCTTCCATCCCCTTCCTCTTCTGGAACAGATGCCATTGTTTTTAGGTATCGTCTGAGTTTTGGCTTAGTTATTTAATTGGATATACCTATGTTTAAAATAATTATGGAACAATTGGCAATAGGCTGAGTATACAGCACGCTTTAAGAGCAGGTTGGAGTCAGCCATTAGCTCTTCTTGTGCAAATGGTGCTTTTCATTTTATGATGTCGTGCTGTAATTGGGATGCTACAACTAGGTCTTGAGGTCTGTTCCTGTAGCTGTTTTTCACAGAGCAAGACTGCTGACACTTCCGGGTTTCTAAGCCCCTTTATAGGTCCTAGGCAAATGGTACCATTGAGAAACAGGCCAGCTCCTGACCTAGAACTCGAGGTTCTTGTTTTAAATTCAGCCTTGTCACAAGCGCTTTTTGATTTTAAAACACTTTGAAAGTCAGATTTGTATTAACAGCAAGGCCAGGAAGGACATTCGGTGGGTAACAATGTCTATACTACTCTGGAGCCTGAGAAATAGTTAGTTACCAGATGAGAAACCTGTACCTCTAGTTTAACAATTGCACTAATGAAGCCTTAAGTTTCCATCTGTCTCTCTAGGAAGACAGAAGTCTCCCTGCCCTCTATGAATTCCGTATTAATCAGTTTACAGGCAGGAGGTTAGCAGCCTGTAAGGTGGAACCACAAAATTTGGGTAGCACTATATATCATGAACGTGGCCCCCACATCTAGAAAAGCTACTGAAAGCTCTAAGATGAGACAGTTCAACAACCATGCTGCTTCAGTATAACTAAAAATTCATGTATGGAACAGGTAGAATTTTACTCAGACTGAGGAGTGTTTGTATCTAAGAGGTAAGGGCTGTCATAACCTCCTCGCTTTCCATGCCACAGGTAAGGCAAGTTACCGAAACCTTGCTTTCTTTAACATAAATATGTAGTTATGGTCTAGAAGGAGAGAAAACAGGAAACAAAATCCTAACTCCTTCCTTCAAAGGAAAAATACAGTCCAAAACCCAGCAAACAAACCCGAGTCCCTTTCCATAATAGCATTGCAGTGAATACACTCCTTCCCTTGGGGAAAAGTATGAGAAAACAAACAGCACAAGAGAAAGTCTAGCCAGTTTAAATTTGCAAGTGGGAGGTGTGCAGACATTATGGTTGTGAGTACGTTATAAGAACCTACGTAGAACAGGCTGGTATGTATTTTCCACATTATAATGGTTGCGTGCTGAGAGACTCCCAAACACTTCGCGTGGCAATTCACAGTTCTGGTGTGTTGTCTTTGCAAAATGATTGGCAGACCCTCAGGTCGCACATATCCGAAGTAAACTGTGTCCTGCTCAGTTACCGAGAGGTCTGTGGATGCTTAAAAATGTTGTGTTTGTAACCTTTGAAACTGCTATCTGGTGGCTGGTCTTTATAGTATTACTGACAACAGATGGCAAATGGCTCCGCTGATGTAATTCTTGCTAGTGTTTCATTCCCGTGAAGTTGCACAGTTTCAAAATCTCAGAAAGTGCCTCCATATTTTTTCCACGTAATGATTTCAAGCCAAACTAAATAAAAACATTTTATATTATTCAAATTCCCATGGTGTCATGTGACATTTTTGTAATGATTGCCTTGCAGCAGTTTCAGATAAGTGCACGTTTGGTAGCAATTTAAGGCCTGTGTCCTTTAAGTAATGCTTATTAGTACGTAACAGATGCTGTTTAGAAACATTATGCCTTTTAATAGGCTCTGCTTTTAGACTACATGTTCTCATTCCAGGCAGACTGTGGATCAGGCAAGCTTGGAGGTATGCTGTCATTTATGCAAAGCCTAAGTCAATTTTCTGCTCTGAAGTCAAGCCATGTGTTTCTCCTTGTTTCTTCCATTCTGGTCATAGCTGCCTTGCTGTGTTTTTCCCCCTAGTTATATCTTTGGCTGATTGTCAAGCCATTACAATCAAAACCTTTTGCATTTTTAACCACCAGCAGTAGTTTCTGTTGTCCTTACAGAAGAGCCTGTGTAAACTGAATTTAAACAATCTCAGCCTTACTGTCAAGAGCACAGCAAGCACACAGTTAGCCCTCTGTTGCCAGCCTGTCCTTCCTTCTCTGCTTCTTCTTCCTCCCAAAAGGAGAAAAAGGGAAAAGCAGAGCCATGCTGATTTTGGAGCACCTTCAAAGACATGTAGAATAGCTGACACAATGGCACAGAGAAACAAGAGATGTTTACATATTTCCTCCACTACTTGCAGCTGTTTATTAAAGCAATCTCTGAGACAGGCTAAGAGGCTTGTGACTGCTAGTGCAGGTGACGTATTAATTTGCAGCCGCCTAATAAATTTAGCAAAGTGAAAATTACTGGGGGAGGGGATTTTTTTGTTTCTTCCTTTTTTTTTTTTCTCAAATTAATTGCTTTATTTTGAGATTAGTCTGGCTGTACAAATTGCTCCCTGCAAGTAATTTGAAGAAAGGCTGCTGGGCTTTCTTAGGCAGACTTATGCACTCTACGGGTGGGAGCAGCAGATTTGTCAGATGTGTAAAGCATTTGCAACTCAAATTATGCAGTATCTGAAACTGATATCCCTGAAAATCTAGACAGTTGTCTCATATTTTCATCGCTACATCATTCGTTTGCGGAACATTGTCCTTTCTGATAGCAAACCAGGGCTTGCAGGTACTTTTGGTATGTCACACATACTGCCATAGTTTGTATGAAATGAAGATAAGGGCCATGTGTAGTGCAACCTTAGGTTTCCTACACTTGCTTTGAATGATGGTGGTAACAGGGAAATGTATTTAATGAGGTACTTAAATACTAGCCCTGGTGCCAGGTTGTGACAGTGGGTGTTTCAGTAATAATTTTAAATGCTCCTTGGTCTTAAAATACGGCTATTTTCTGGAAGCATCCTAACTGGCAGTCTGTCTGGCTTCTCCCCATAGGATGAAATCATGTTCATGCTAGATCATTTGCCAAACTCAGTTGTCATTTCTTGACATTTCACTATACCTTGTTTATCGGTATGGGAGACTTTGTCTTCCTCTTTTCCCTTAAGTTATAGGATGACTTTTGACGAATGTATCCTCCTTTCTGTCTTCCATCTTTGCAAAAGATTGAGTTACCACTATCCACATTTGAACTTGTGATTCGTAAGAGCTCTGCTGCTGTTCATGGAATCTTTTCTGTCATTTTCCTTTCAAATCAGACTCTTTGAATAATGAAAATACTTCAGTGATATATTTCAGTGACATTCAGGGCCTCCCATTTCTTCTTTGCTTAGATTTTGAGAGTCAGACTGTAATTTGAGGTCAGGCCTGGACTATGAACTTCTGCTGGCATAGCTATTTTGGCTATGGTTATGGTGATGTGAGATGTAGCACTGACATAGCTGTGCTGGAAAAAGCCCCTGATACAGACACAGTTGTTCTGAAAAACTTGTGTATTTTTCTTGTATATTTTATTTTGTTTAGGGGGTAGACAAATAATTAAGTTGACAAATTTAGATTTTTTTTTTTTTCTTAGATATGCAAGTAAATCCATACCACTGCCTTCAGTAGTTGAAGTTAGACTTTTCCAGGAACATTTCTGCCCATTTCTTGGCCATATGAAAACCAGTACATATTAAGAACTCAATTGTGATGTTCACAGGTTCAGCGGTATTAGCAGCAATCCCACTGAATCAATGGAATTTCCTTGAGGAAAACCTGATGTGAACATGAACCTTAAAGCCTTAATTAATTACAATCCTGAATGTCCCTTTTCTTCAGGACTACATCTTCTCTGAGTTATTCTGTAAGCTCCCTCCTCCTTTTTTACATCTAAGCTCTGTGAAAAGGAGAGTTAAATGTGCAGAAGTATGAATTCCTGATATGTCATAGTTACAGCTGGTAGCACTTCCATGGTTTAACAGTATGCTACAGTTTTTATTTATAAAGTCTGTTTCTGGGCCATAATACCTCAGCTTTTTTCAATTACATTAGGTTAGAGCTTTGTGCAAAACATGCCAGTCCAGATGTGCATTCTGTGTATAATAGGTCAGGGGATAGCCTGTTTACACAGATGTATTTTAATTTGTCTGTACTGTGAGTTGGGTGTGGCTTTATTTTTGTAAGTGTAACACTGGTAAAGATCCATCTGAGGGAAAATAGATACGGTTGGAACCTGTTTGCTGGGACTTTCAGTGCAGGAGTACTGCAGGTTAGAGTTGATCAGTGCTGTGTGTTATATGATCCTTTCAACATGCAGTTGCTTTTCTAGATGTGAAAACATTTTGAATAATGTGGTTTCATCTAGATATTTTTCCAAAAAGAGCTAAATACTTAAATCAATTATTTAATTCCCTTGTCTATTTTTTGTTTCCATTTCATAACTTGCAGATTACTTTAAGTTTTGGAAAATAAATAACACATGTGACTTATAAACCCTGGTCATACAAGGTTCTGAGGGCCTTCAGAGCTCATTGAAGTGAACACTTGAAGGCGTTTGACATTTTTCAGAATTAGGCTTGTCTCTGCCTTTGCTCATCTATGTTCTCCTAAATAGATGTGTATACTTAGAGCTTTTTTCTTCCCTTTTCTGACATCGGTAGTAAAAATGTCTTAGCAGGAAT